CCCAGCCCAGATCAGCCCCTTCCCCGGCCAGCCCGTCCCCGCAGGCCGCCGCCCGCTCACCGCAGCTTGTAGTCCGCGTAGCCTTTCTGGTTGGCCCGCAGCTTGGCCAGGATCACCTTGAGAATCCTCATGAAGATCAGCAGGTTGATCTGGGGAGGCCACGGAGGTTAGCTCCCCGCTCAGCCAGGCCCCGCTCCCAGGGTCATGCGGCTGCCCATGGAGGGAAGGGGGCTGAGCTCAGCACCCCTGGGGCAATGAGGGGAAGGGACATGCCACGAGTAACAGAGAGTATGTGTGGGGCAGGGAGCAGCAGGAACGTCGCCAGGGCCTTCCACCGGCCAGCGAGCCCATCGGTACGGCCTCGGGGCACCCGGCCTCACAGAGCTCTCTCCCAGCATGCACTGGGCTCCACAGAACAGGTGGGTTGGCATCTGGGGGCCTGGCTCTGTTTGCCCTGACATCCAGGTCAGGGGTCTGGAGGGGCCGGGGCCAGGAGCCCACCTGCGGGGGTTCTGTTAACCAGAGCGGTGCAGCGACTTGGAGGGGACAGGCTGCCTCTGTCACCCCCAAGTGGTCACACAGGGGACTGCAAGCCAGGGTGTAGGTGCTTGCTCGTGACTGGCTCCCCAGTGCCTCAGTTTCCCCAGCTGTTGAGTGGGGGAACAGCGCCCTCCCTGGGCCAGCTTGCGGGAGGGGGGGAATTTCTCTGGCAGGAGCTGCTGCTCTCCTTGGCTACACTCAACCGCTGAGCCGAGCCAAGCAGGAGACTCTGCTGCCATCTTAAAGGCACGGTACCTCACGTGGGCCCCGATCGCAGGCTCGGAGGTCACCTACCAGGGACGCCAGCAGGATGGGGATCCGGATGATCCACCAGTAGGCCATGTTCTCGTTCAGCGCCCAGCACCTGCGGCCCCGGAGAGACGCGCGGATAAGCCCGGAGCCAGCGGGCAGCAGCACCTCCTCCAGCCACACCGCCCTTCTGGGGGGCCCCCGCGAGCCGAGAGGAAAGTGCCACCGGGGGCCTGCGGGCTCCTCCCTGCCCCACGCTCGCTGCCGTCGCCCGGGAGCTGCCCCTGGCGGGCGGTCCTGCGCTCCTTCCAGCCCCGTGAGTCCCCCACACGGAAGTCCCACCACTGGGCCTGGGCCCGGCTCCTTTCCACGTCTCCCCCTGGAGGGGCTGTGGAGCCCGAAAGCGTAGCCCCGCCATAGCCCCAGGGCCTGGCCGATGGAGCTGTGCACTGCAGGGCCCTGGGGAGCAGCCCTGCTTGGTGGCCAGTGGGTGAGTCTTTGTCCTACTCCCATGGGGCAGAGCCCAAGCCCAGCTCTAAGGCCAGCCCCACCTCACCAGGGAGGCCGAGTCCTTCCCTCGCCCCTGGGGGTCTCGCCAGGGCGGGGCTGGACCAATCACGGTGGCGGCGGGGGACTGGGCTGCCCCCCACTCACATTCAGCGCTCTCCCTGCCTTTCCTGGGGCATGGCCCCCCGGCGGCACAAAGGGCCTGGCTCCGCTCCCCCAGCCCGCTGGCGCGCCCGCACTTACTCTGCGTTCTCCTTCAGGTACTTGGCCACCAGCCACGGCACCACGAACACCACGGGGGTCCCTGCAAGTCACACAGCAACCCCTGTGAAGACCAAGCGCCTGCCTGAGCTGAGACAGCGGCTCTCGCAAACCGAGGGCCTGTCCTTCCCCCGTCCAGGCCCCGTGCCGTGGGGACCCGGCCCTGGGGCGCTGCAGGCTGGCCTCAGCCCCGCTCCCCCGCTTTCTGCACCTAGGCAGGGGCTCCTGTGCGGAGCACGCGCCACTGGGGCCACGACTCAGCCACGTCACTGCAACAGCAAGGAGGCCTGTGGCCCCGTAAGGACTAACGAGCGTGTTAGCCTGTAAGGGGCCAGCAGACTCCTGATTGTAACAGCCTGACGGGGCCTCCCCTCTGAAACTGTCACTGCGTCATCAACCCGCCCACGTGGTTCTCGGGGCACCGACGCCCACCTGGAAACCCCACTGGGGCCACGACTCAGCCACGTCACTGCAACAGCAAGGAGGCCTGTGGCCCCGTAAGGACTAACGAGCGTGTTAGCCTGTAAGGGGCCAGCAGACTCCTGATTGTAACAGCCTGACGGGGCCTCCCCTCTGAAACTGTCACTGCGTCATCAACCCGCCCACGTGGTTCTCGGGGCACCGACGCCCACCTGGAAACCCCTTGGGTGTCAGCCCACTGCCCAGCCGCCCCCTCAGCCGAATCTCTGCCCTCTGGGAGCTCCTCACGCCCCCGCCCACCCTGCCAGGCCTCTGGAATTCTAGACCCATCGCCAAAGGCCGTACGCCCCTCCCCAGACACCTGCCTGCCCCCCAGGGCCCCACGC